ATGCGTCAGTTTTGGTATCGGAGCTGCAGATGTGAATCAGGACGAACCTGATCTGACGCGCGCACGGGGACCACCCAAGATCGATTGGGTGAAGTAACGATTGATCGATCAATCGATCCTGGATCGATTGGTTGATCCCGGATTGATTGATTGATTGATTGATTGATTGATTGATTGATTGATTGATTAGGTCATACTAATTAGTCCCCAAATCGCGAAACTTGGACCCAACCGCCGAAATCGAAATTTTTTTTGCTGTTTTGGATTCGTTTTCCCGCTATTTGTTTCTTTCAACAATAGCGGAACATCTGAAGGTTCGTTTTTCCTTTCTTGGAACCCGAAACTTCGTTGCTGAAGATCCAAAATACTGCGATTTTCCATTATTTATTCCGTGAATTTTTTTTTCTGATATTTCGATTTTATTTTTTTTGCGGAAATTCGAAATTTCGCGGCAGGGAAGTCCAGAATTTTTTTTGAAAGTTTCGATTTTATCCCGTTATGAAAAAAAATCCCGTTATTCCGAAAATCTTTTTCTGAAATTCGTTTTTTCACTTCTTGAAATTCGTTTTTCACTTTCTGAAATTCGTTTTCATTTCCGAAATTATTTCTGAATTCGTTTTTCAACTTCGAAAATTTTCTGAAATTTCGATTTTCAATTTCGAAAATTATTTCTGAAATTCGTTTTTCACTTCGAAATTATTTCTCAAATTCGAAATCATTTCTGGAAATCGTTTTTTTCACTTCCGAAATTATTTCTGAAATTCGAATTTTTTCTGAAACTCGCTTTTCAACTTCAATTTTTTTCTGAAAATTCGATTTTCAATTTCGAAAATTATTTCTGAAATTCGTTTTTCAAATTTCGAAATTATTTCTGAGATTCGTTTTTCAACTTCGAAATTTTCTGGAATTTGTTTTTCAATTCCGAAAATTCCTGAAATTCGTTTTTCAATTTCGAAATTCCTTACTTTTCGGAAATTATTCTTCATATTTCGTACATTGCTTTCCGGGAAACTCCTCTCACCAATGCTTGTTTTCAAACTGCGTATACTCTCACTTAACATATTCCGAATTTGTTTGGAATTTCCTGGGCTTGTGGAATCGTACCTTTTTCGCAAGTTCAGCGTTTCCGTTATCTCCATTTTGACACTTTGATTCATTGGCAGCCTAAATTTCGAATTTTTTTTCGTTCAAATTGACTGCTGAGGGGATACTTGGGGGGCCTACCGAGCTTGCACATTCGAATTTTTTTTTCCATGTCCTGCAAGTTCCATTTTTTTTTCTTGATTAGTGGCTCCATATCTGGGCGACCCATCTTGATTGCCCATCCCCTTTCTCTCCACCCCAACCCTTCGTCCCTTCTCCGTCCTCCTTACCTGCCCATTCACCTGCAGTTGCAGGCCAGGTAAGTCCTCATTTCAGCAGGCCACGTCAGGGACCCGCCGCGCATGACCACACTTACTCGCTCGCAGACAGCAGCGATGAATCAGAAGGCAGGCGAGACTGACGAGGCCTACGAGGCACGATTGATGGCCCTCATAGCCGAAGGCAAGCAACGGGCAGACGCAGCGGCAGCAGCACGGAAGAAGAAAGAAGCAGAGGCAGAGAAACAGCGTCTTCTGGCGGAAGAACAGCGGCAGAAGCACGCGCCAGCAGCAGCCAAGGCCGCTGATGAAGAACGCGTACGGCGACGCGAGATCATATTCAGGGAGGAAAGTGCATTACACGCACAGGCCAAGGATTGGCAGAAGGAGGCCGAGAACGGCGATCCCGTTGACGTCGGGAGCAGAGTATCTCAGCTGCTCAACCGTGTCACGGACCTCCTCGCGACTTGCATCGCGCARCARGAGGATATCTACTCTCTCGACCACACCAACAAGGCGTTACAGCAGTCGCTGGACCAGACGCTCAAGCGCGTTCAACAACTGGAGCAGCAGGTCGCTAACGCCAATGCCAGCGCCGGCCCCTCCGACCTCGCCGACCGCGTCAACGTCTTGGAGATAGACGTGGGGACACTCAAGGCCGGGGCGCAACAGCACGTCTGCGCCGCAGCCAGCTCCAGCACGGCGCCACGCGAGACCATTGTCAAGTTTGACGGGCTCCCGATCTTCTGTGACGCATCGAAGACGGACCCCATACAATGGTGGCGCCAGTTCGAACTCAAGCTGGACCTCCACCACGTCGCCAACGAGAATCGGCATGCATATTTGTAATCCCGCTCGGGAGGCGCATGTCAGGCATGGTTGGACAACATGCTGTCCGCCCATGCATGTACAGTTACCGAGTTGCCCAAGTACATCACCTGGGCGGATCTCACGGCGGCATGGAAGAAGCGCTTCCAAGTAGAACCGCCCGAGCACAAGGCGATGGACACGCTGCTGACATTTTCGCAGAACAGCATGCCAAGCGGAGACTGGATTTCCGAGTTCCAACGCCTCGCAAGCACGCCCAAGCTGCCGCTGAACTTCGACGACATCAAGCTCTATTTCATCAAGAGGTCGTGCCCGGCGTTGCAGAATGCGTTGACTCATGTCGCCGACACCCTCACTACAAGCGAGGAACTCTTCAACAAGGCCGCGCAGATCATTGTGACGAACTTGGCAGCCCGGAATACGAGCNGGCCGCTGATGAAGAACGCGTACGGCGACGCGAGATCATATTCAGGGAGGAAAGTGCATTACACGCACAGGCCAAGGATTGGCAGAAGGAGGCCGAGAACGGCGATCCCGTTGACGTCGGGAGCAGAGTATCTCAGCTGCTCAACCGTGTCACGGACCTCCTCGCGACTTGCATCGCGCARCARGAGGATATCTACTCTCTCGACCACACCAACAAGGCGTTACAGCAGTCGCTGGACCAGACGCTCAAGCGCGTTCAACAACTGGAGCAGCAGGTCGCTAACGCCAATGCCAGCGCCGGCCCCTCCGACCTCGCCGACCGCGTCAACGTCTTGGAGATAGACGTGGGGACACTCAAGGCCGGGGCGCAACAGCACGTCTGCGCCGCAGCCAGCTCCAGCACGGCGCCACGCGAGACCATTGTCAAGTTTGACGGGCTCCCGATCTTCTGTGACGCATCGAAGACGGACCCCATACAATGGTGGCGCCAGTTCGAACTCAAGCTGGACCTCCACCACGTCGCCAACGAGAATCGGCATGCATATTTGTAATCCCGCTCGGGAGGCGCATGTCAGGCATGGTTGGACAACATGCTGTCCGCCCATGCATGTACAGTTACCGAGTTGCCCAAGTACATCACCTGGGCGGATCTCACGGCGGCATGGAAGAAGCGCTTCCAAGTAGAACCGCCCGAGCACAAGGCGATGGACACGCTGCTGACATTTTCGCAGAACAGCATGCCAAGCGGAGACTGGATTTCCGAGTTCCAACGCCTCGCAAGCACGCCCAAGCTGCCGCTGAACTTCGACGACATCAAGCTCTATTTCATCAAGAGGTCGTGCCCGGCGTTGCAGAATGCGTTGACTCATGTCGCCGACACCCTCACTACAAGCGAGGAACTCTTCAACAAGGCCGCGCAGATCATTGTGACGAACTTGGCAGCCCGGAATACGAGCCCTTCGTCAAATGCCGGCCAGGGCGCGCACCAGCATCGGCCTAAAGTGGCCGTGGTCGCAGTGGCAACGACTAGCGACCCTTCTACTTCAGGCGAGGCTGTTTCGTCTGACGAGGGAGACAGACTCGCAGCTGCCCAGAATGGTGGCCGCCCCGCCAAAGGACGAGGACGCGGCAAGCCGAAGACCAACACCAATACTTCTTTTGGGCCTGGGCAAGCAGCTCCAGCTCAAGGACCTTGGACAGCGTACGGCCTGACGGAGCGCGGGTATTGCGTCCGCACCAAGTACCGTTATTGTTTGTGGTGCAATTGCGCGGCCCATGAGACCGCGAACTGCCCCACGAAAGCCAAGGGCCCCGCTCACTCGGGAAAGTGAGCACCGCCGACAGTGTTGCGATGGCACTCTTGACGCCTTCTGAACCGGTTGCCGATCGGGTAACCTCCCTCGGTTCCGGGGCATATGCGGACGTCGTCAGTCCTCCAATTCTTCATTCTTTCGAGGATTATGCTGCCCGGCTCGTACCTTCGCGGGATTCACGAGCCCGATCAGAAGCAGCAGCATTGATTCGTCTTCAAGTGGACCTTCGCGGGATTCGGCGCGCGCGTTCAACATTGAGGACTTGGACCCGTTGACGCCCGAGGATTTTGCATGGCTTCCTCTCCCTTCCACCGGCTGCTTACCATAGCCGCAATGCGCAGCTCTTCGCGCTCATTTACATACATACCTAGCCTTCTATGCACCACCAACTTCGCCTACGGAGGACGAGGTCGCGGTGGGGGACATTCTTGCATATGTAAGCAAGGTGGCCCGCGAGTTTCGCACGCAACGGTATGACGACAACAACGTACCGCTCCTTTATGTCCACATCCAAATCGGGCAAGCGTCCTGCAGCGCTTTGCTGGATAGCGGCGCGACTTGCAACTTCATTAGCCAGTCCTTCATGCAAAAGGCCGGCCTTGGACCACAAGTTAGAAGGAAGGCACACCCTATGTCGATCAAGTTGGCGGACAGTAGAACGCAACAACTCCTTGATCGCTACATCGAAGCCGTTCCGGTTTATTTCGCACCTCATGCATGCGAACCGGTGACGTTTGACGTCTTGGACACGGACTTCAACATCATTTTGGGCATGCCTTGGCTTGCAAGTGCGGATCACACGGTCAACTTCCACCGGCGGACACTTACGGTTCGCGACGCGTTCGGCGCCGAAGTACCATGTACGATTCCTCCTCCGCACCCTTCGATCCGGTGCCAAGTTGAAACCGCCAAGTCTTTTCGGGCCACTTGTGCTTACGAGCAGACCGAGGAGATCGGCTTATGTGTTCTTCTAAACGTCGCGGTAGCCGACTCTCAACCTACGGACTTGTCTCCAGACCCCCGGGTGGTGCGGTTGCTCGACGAATTTGCCGACGTCTTCGAGTCACCGACCGGCGTGGTGCCGGATCGGCAATCTCTCACGAGATCATTCTCGAGGCCGGTGTCGTGCCGCCAAAAGGTTGCATTTACCGCATGAGCGAGGAGGAACTTACTGTACTCCGCGCGCAGCTCGACAACTTGTTGGACAAAGGCTGGATCCGGCCTAGTAGCTCACCCTATGGTGCGCCAGTTCTCTTCGTTCGGAAGAAAAACAAGGACCTTCGCCTATGCATCGATTACCGCAAGCTCAATGCGCAAACCGTCAAGAACGCGGGACCTCTACCTCGTATTGACGACCTTCTGGAGCGCTTTGGCGGCGCAAAATTTTTTTCTAAGCTGGATTTGAAGTCAGGATATCATCAGATCTCGATTCGGCCGCAAGATCGCTACAAGACCGCGTTCAAGACACGGTACGGGCACTTCGAGTGGGTTGTTATGCCTTTTGGACTCACCAACGCCCCGGTGACTTTTCAAGCGGCGATGACGAACGAGTTCTGAGCAATGTTGGACCAGTTCGTGCTGGTCTACTTGGACGACATCCTCGTCTATAGTCGGACCTTGGAGGAACATCTTGACCATCTTCGACGAGTGTTGGAGATATTCCGGCGCGCCAAGTTCAAAGCCAACCGCGACAAGTGCTAGTTCGTGCGTCAAGAGTTGGAATACTTGGGCCACTTCGTCACTCCACAAGGCATCAGTCCGTTGTCGGACAAGATTCAAGTCGTCCAAATTTGGCCGGAGCCACGGAACGTCACGGATGTCCGATCATTCCTTGGCCTCGCCGGCTACTACCAACGCTTCATCAAAGGCTACTCGAAGATCGCGGCTCACTTAACCAAGCTTCAATGCGAGGACTGGCCGTTTGACTTCGGGACGGACGCGCGGGAATCATTCTTGGCCCTCAAGGCCGCATTGCTCTCCGCGGAGGTATTGCGGATATACGACCCTCTATTGCCAACGCGCGTCACCACGGACGCATCCGGCTATGGCATTGGTGTCGTCCTAACATGACAGCGTGGATTGGCACCCGGTCGAATATTTCAGCAAGAAAGTGCCGGTCGTGCACTCCATCGACGATGCATGAAAGAAGGAACTTCTCGCCTTCGTCCACACACTCAAGCGATGGGGGCACTTCCTCCTCGGTCGACGCCAGTTCCGATGGGTAACGGACAACAATCCGTTGGTCTTCTACAAGTCTCAAGACACCGTCAACAGCACCATCGCTCGTTGAATGGCCTTCATCGACCAATTCGACTTCTTTCCCGATCACATTCCGGGGAAGTCGAACCGTTTTGCGGATGCCCTTTCGCGGCGTCCGGACCACTGCACCGCGGTCTACTCAACCTTCGAGATCGAGGACGACTTGCGGGACAGCTTCATCCGTGGCTATCAAGCCGACCCCGAGTTTCGCGACAAGTACGCGAATTGTTCCTCTCCCAATCCGGCGCCCCCGCACTATCGGATCCAAGAGGGATACTTGCTTCTTCATTCGCTAGGGAAGGATCTTCTTTGTGTGCCGCAAGATTCACATTTGCGCACCCGGCTTCTTGGCGAGTTCCAAGACGCCCCCGCCACCGAACACTTTGGAGTCAATCGCACGATTGGCCGACTACGCGAGCGCTTTTGGTGGCCCGGTCTCCTCGACGACGTCACGCGCTATTGCAAGTCATGCAAAGTTTGCCGACGTTGCAAACCTCGCAATCATCGTCCTTATGGCGAACTGCGACCATTGTCGGTCCCCTTGCGCCGAAGGGAAGCAATTGCCATGGATATCACCGAGGCGTTCCCCAAGCACAAGACGGGCATCGATGGGATTCTCACGGTGGTTGACCGACTCACCAAGTTCGTCATGTTCTTGCCTTGCCGCTACCATGCCAAGGCACCGGAGTTGGTCGAGGTTCTCTACGCCAGTTGGATTCGAACCAAGGGTTACCCCAAGGAAATCGTTTGCGACCGCGACACTCGGTTCATGTCCAACTTTTGGTTGGCGCTCATCAAGCGATGGGGCTCTTCCCTCAAGCCAAGTTCAGCTCGCCACCCCCAAACCGATGGCCAAACGGAGAGGGCACATCAGACCGCACAGGTCCTTCTTCGCACTCTCATTCGTCCCGACCAAAAGGATTGGGTCGAGCGGCTGCCGAATGTTGAGTTGGCTTACAACTCGTCTATCCATCCGGCTATCGGGATGTCACCGTTCGAGTTTGAGCATGGCTCGCCGGTCAACTCTCCGGTGGACACAATCATGCCACGGATGACCGAGAGCGACGACCACCTTCTCTTCATTCGTCGGATGCAAGAGCTTGTTGTCAAGGCATGCGATCAGATGTCGAAGACGTAGCAACGTATGCGCCAACAGGCCAACCGCCAGCGTCTTCCTTGTCCATTCCGCGCCGGCGACCTCGTATGGGTTTCCGCTGCGGAATTCAGCCTCGAGCAAGATATCTCTCGCAAGCTCCTTCCGAAATGGATGGGGCCCTGGCCGAACTTGGCACCCGCCGGCGACGCACCCGAAGACCCTTCGTTTATCATTCGGGTGCCCGAACACTTGCCCGTCAACCCGGTCTTTCACTGTTCTAAGTTGGCTCCCTACACGCCAGCCGAACTTGCCGACTTCCCCGGACGACGATTGCAAGACCCACCCTCAATGGACGGCTTCCAAGAGATCGGCAACATCTTATCCCACCGACGACATGGCAACAATCCGACCAAATTCTTGGTTCACTTTGCATATTGCACGCATAGAGCTGACCGATGGCTGACTCGTGCGGAACTTCGAGCAACAGCGCCCGATGCTCTCGCACGCTATGAGCAGAAATTGAAAGGCAAGCCGGCACCTTCGGCTCCACGACGCACACGCGTCCAAGTACCGCCTTCGGATCGTCAGCTTCGCCCCCAACCGGCTTGACTTCATAAGGAGGGGGTGGTGTTACATGCTGAGCCTGACACACGGGCCCATTTTTGGGCCCGACGGTTGTTGAGGGCCCCTAGGCCGCGCGCTTGTTCCAAGCATGCGACCTAGAGGCCCACGGCCATTGGACAGGCCGTAGGTACAGATTTGAGGCAGCCGTCATGTATTTATTTATTTATTTATTCCTTTACTTTGTATTGTTGTTTGTCTGTTTTATTTTTGTCTGTTTCAGGTGACGTTTCGGACTTGCAGTTCGTCCAAACAAATCTACGATCTGTTCGGACCAAGGCCACGATTTTGGCCTCCTCCATTCGTAGCCAGGCCCTTTCAAGCCAGGTTCGCGTTGTCTGGTAGCAGACACTCCCTGCTGTATCAGCAGGGAGGGCCTGGACGTCYGATAGGGACCCAGGCAGGCCGTTTTTAGGCCAAACCCAGGGACAGGACTTTTTCCTGCGACCTGGACCATGGATCGGACCTACGATCTCACGGCCCAGATCGCAGGTCGAAGGCACAGCACCTCGGCCCAGCACTACTTATAGCTGGGCCAGCTCCTAGCACGACAGTTCGGGTCGCTCACTTCTGAGCAGCATGCTGCTGGTTGGAGACTGCGCTACGATGCGCTAGGTAGAGGAGTAGGGAGTAGAACGCAAGGGAGATAGGGAGTGGCGGAGGCCATACCTGTGAGCGGCGAGCTTACCTGCGCCATAGCGGGACGCCACGCGGTACCTGCACGCAACAACGGACGACGTCAGTGCGGTGACAGCTACCTGCAGGTGAGATAGCGAGGAGGGCTTCCTCTTCTCTCCCTCCTCCATCTCTCTCTCTCTCTCTCTCTCTCTCTCTCTCTCTCTCTCTCT